GATCTGTTCTCTCTGTTCTCTCTATCTCTCATGGTAAACAACACATCGGAACCGACCATTTTTACACGCCAAAAACTCTCATCGCTAGTGAGTGCGTGGACTCTAGGTTGAGTAGTGGTGTCCCTGGTGATATTGAGAACGCTTATGACCATATTAGCTTGAGCTTCTTACTTTTTCTATTGGAGAGGTTGGGTTTCGGGCTGAGATGGAGGAGGTGGATCGAGGCCTGCATTTCATCGGTGAGATTTTCAGTTTTGGTTAATGGGGTTCCGACTGGATTTTTTGGCAGCTCTCGGGGTCTGAGACAGGGGGATCCTCTTTTTCCTTTTCTGTTCATCATTGTTATGGAAGCGCTTAGTAAACTGGTAAGGGCGGCCGTGGATTTGAGGTTTATTAGGGGATTCAAGGTGGGTAGAGATGTGGATCAACAGCTTGAGATTTCTCATTTATTGGTTGCTTGCAGATGGCAATCTGGTCTTCTGTGACGCTGATGTGTCCCAACTACGATACTTGAGGCGTGTTCTGGTTTTCTTTCTGGCAGTCTCTAGCTTGAAAGTAAATGTAGGGAAGAGCACTTTAGTTTCTGTGGGGGAGGTTCGTGACGTTGCTTCTCTTGCATTGATGCTTGGGTGTGGGGTTGGCTCCTTTCCTATTTCTTATATGGGATTGCTGTTGGGTTCTCTGTTAAGGACAGTGGGGGATGGGATCCCAGGATTGAGAGGTTTGAGAGAAGATTGGCCGGGTGGAAGAAGTAGTATCTTTCCAAGGGTGGGAAGGTCACCATTATGAAGAGCACGTTGTCGAGTCTTCCTACATAATTTATTTCTCTTTTTCAGATCCCATTCTCTGTGGCTGAGAGGATTGAGAGGATTCAGCGGAATATTCTATGGGGCGGCTTGGGGAAGGAGTTTAAGTGCCATCTTGTTCGTTGGGAGCAGGTGTGCAGACCTTTTCAGCAGGGTGGTTTGGGCATTAGGAGGCTGCTCCCATTTAATAGGGCCCTCCTTATTATGTGGTTGAGGAGATTTGGAGGCGAGTGTCATCGATTGTGGAGGAGGGTTATTTCGTGTCGCTATGGGGAGGAGAGAGGAGGATGGTGTTCTTTTGTGTCTAGATCTATTGTAGGAGTCGATGTTTGGAAACTAATTTGGAAGGGTTGGGATGAATTTTCAAAACACATCAGATTTAAAGCACGGGATGGTATGGGTACTCGATTTTGATTGGTGAATGTCAGCTCATTCTTATCCGATTTAGGGCTGCATTAGCACCTAAAGAAAGGAGGTATATATTGTCGTTAAATCTGTAGCAGCAAATGTAAGCCTTAAGAAAGTGTGTGAGCCTCAAGAGTTGAAATGTGCTATATTGTGATATACTCTTGAGAGACCAATAAGTTCAGAGTTTTTGGTCAATTACGCCTCTTGAGTTAGGGTTTCAAGCTATTTAAATCTGGTTTGGGTACTGAAAATGTCACACCATGCTGTTCTTGTTATTATTATTCATTGAGCATGTGTATTATGTTGCAACAAAGCTGTGGAATCAAACTTTGAGGTGAATTACAGTGAAATACAGATTTACCCCTAGACACACTATTTCAGCAGATTGTTGATTAAGGTCTGTTTTGGAGTCAATCTGTGAAATACCTTGCTTTAATCATTCATCTTATAATTATAGCAAGTGTAGTATGTTATATGAAGACTCTGGAGATCAAGATTGAACCTGTTCTATTAGTTATAAAAAAACAAAGAAAAAGAAAAAAAAAAAGAGATTGAACCTGTTCTATTGCATCGATAATTATGGTTTTTGGCAGAGTACAAGGCTGCTAAGCTCTAACATTGGTTTAACTTGCTTAGTACATTGAAGTTATCATCTGTTCAAGTGTTCTTAACTGAGTTAAGGCTGTGAGCTTCATACTTTGACATGAGTAGAGGCTGCATTGTGGTATAACACTACCAGCCTCATTTCTGCAGAAATTATCAAGGCTGTACAGTGCTGTGTTTATTAAGCTGAAATTGAATATGTTCTGAACTTGTATTGTTGATATTTGTTCAAACTGATAAGAGAGAGAGAGAGATCAAGGTGGCTACAGACTTTGTGTATATTTCATATATTAAACCCTAAGCCTACAGTGGTTGTCCGTTTGATGCTCCTATAGATTCAAATAGAAAACTTGTGTCTGATGAGGGTGATCTATTTAATGACCCGGGCAGATTTCGTCGCCTTGTTGGAAAATTAATATATCTCACTATCACTCGACCTGATATTTCATATGCAGTTAGTGTTGTAAGTCAGTTCATGGGAGTTCCTAGAATGCCACATTGGAATGCTGTTCTTCAGATTATCCGATATCTCAAGCAAGATCCAGGTTTTGGGTTATTATATAAATCAAATGGTCATCTCAGGGTGGAAGGTTTTACAGATGCTGATTGGGCTGGTTCTCCTTCAGATAGGAGATCTACTTCAGGCTATTACACATTTGTAGGAGGAAATCTTGTTACATGGAGAAGTAAAAAGCAAACGGTGGTAGCTTGATTTAGTGTTGAAGCTGAGTACAGGGCAATGACCTATACCACTAGTGAGTTGACATGGATACAACATTTTCTAAAAGAACTTGGGTTGACAGTTGAAGCTCCTATTCCATTGTTCTGTGATAATCAAGCAACTGTTCACATTGCATCAAATCCCGTGTTTCATGAGAGGACCAAACATGTTGAAGTTGATTGCCACTTCATTCGAGAAAAAATATTATGTGGGAGCATCTCTACTCCATTTGTGAAGTCTGAAGATCAATTAGCTGATATGTTTACCAAAGTGTTGGGTCAGAACCGGTTAAGGACTATCTGTTCCAAGTTGGGATTATTTGATATATATTCTCCAGCTTGAGGGGAAGTGTTAGAATGTTTATCTATATATATATATATTTATGTTGGGTCATGTTGTAATTACACATAGTTGGTAGGGTCATAATGTAATTAGCTCATTCTTGTACCCTTATATAAGCTACTGTTGTCTTAGGGTTGAGATATAATGAATATACAAATTGTAGCCTCCATGATCTCTCTCTCTCTCTCTCTCTCTCTCTCTCTCTGTGTCGTCAGTTTGAACACTAACAATAGACTGAAATGCAGAACCACTCAATCCTTTAGTTAACACATCTGCAAGCTGACCCTCGGTTGACACAAATGGTGTTCAAATCAGTCCGCTGTCCAACTTCTCCTTTATAAAATGTCTGCCTTCTTCCACATGCTTGGTGCGGTCATGTTGCACAGGGTTATGTGCAATATTAATTGCTGATTTGTTATCACAATATAGCTTTATGGGTCCTTCCCATGCAATCTTCAGATCTTCCAAAATTATTTTCAACTATAGAAGCTCACAAACTCCTAATGCCATAGCTCTGAACTCAACTTCTGCACTTGACCTTGCAACTACATTTTGCTTCTTGCTTCTCCACGTTACAAGGTTGCCTCCGAGGAATGTTCAATAGCCTGAAGTGGATCTTCTTTCATCAATTGATCCGGCATAATCTGCATCCGTGTATGCTTCCAATGTCAATTCATTTTCTCTTCTAAACAACACTCCCTTTCCAGGAGTACCTTTCAAGTACTGTAGAATTCAATGTGTTGCTTGAAGATGTACTTCTTTGGAATTGTGCATAAATTGACTCACCACTCCTACAGCATAGGCTATGTCTGGTCTGGTATGAGAAAGATAGATTAGTTTGCCCATTGGTTTACACCCTAGTTTCCCCGTCTTAGTAATAAATCCAGCACATACTTCTGTTGGGATATAAAGATCCTATGTCGAGAGTGAGCCACTTCAATGCCGAGGAAGTATTTTAACCTGCCGAGTTCTTTAATCTCAAACTCTTGCAATAAACACCTTTTCAATGCCTCCAACCCTTGTAAGTCATCCCCTGTTACCACTATATCAGCCACATAGACTACTAGAGCTATAACTCCCCTGAAGCAGAATGTTTGACAAACAATGTGTGATCACCCTGACTTTGTTTGTAACCCAAAGCTTTCATTACGCTAATAAATCTACCAAACCAAGCCCTGGGAGATTGTTTTAAACCATAAAGTGTCTTTTTCAATTGACACACCTTATTCTTCTCGGACTCAAACACTGGAGGAACCTCCATATAGATTTCTTCATCAAGATCACCATGTAAAAAGTCATTTTTTACGTCAAAGTGTTGCAAACTCCAGCCACGATTAGCTCCTAAAGATAATAGGATTCTTATAGTATTCATTTTTGCAACAGGAGCAAATGTTTCAAGATAATCTATCCCATAGGTTTGAGTATACCCCTTAGCTACTAACCTTGCCTTATGCGGTTCAAGTGATCCATCTGCCTTGTACTTTACAGTGAAGACCCATTTACATCCCACTAGTTTCTTTCCTCGAGGCGGTTCCACCAAGTCCCATGTTTTGTTCTTCTTAAGCGCATCCCACCAGTAGAATATACATTCTAATTACAGGACATATATACAGCTGTAATACACGTTTTCTCCCCATCTAGTGAGCTGTAAAATCTGCACAACGTATTCATACCATAATTACTGATTCTAACTGCTACATAACATGGTCAAAGTCCATTATGCCCCTCACCCTAAGTGAATCAACAAGTATGCCATGTAGGAAATGTTAATATGCATATGCACACATATATCCCATATGAAATCAAATAAATGTCCATCATGTCCTCAAAGCACCTGTTCCTCCACGACAAAACATAAGGATGCATATAAAGGAAAAATGCGGGAAAATAAAAAAAGAAATCCCGGTCCTCAAAAAATATATTATAAATATCTCAAGCATTAATATTTTTGTGGGGTATTGCTACTTCACAGGCTAGCCCATGTAATGAATTGACCAACCTTGTCACATATAATACTCTAGTTTTCTTGTGGCCAATTGTCTGTTTCATGGATGCCTTACCGTTTGTATATTTTCTCATGTAACTTTTAAAACATTTTCTATCTTTTTACCAATTTTCAGGGGAGATTTTGGCAGGTTGGGTCATGGAAATTCTAGTGATTTGTTTACTCCTCAACCAATAAAAGCATTGCAAGGTTTACGGATAAAGCAAATTGCGTGTGGGGACAGCCATTGTTTGGCAGTGACCATGGAAGGGGAGGTACAGAGGTTGGTAGACTTTCACAATCGTATTTATATATGTACCTTCACTACTTATTAAAAAAAAAAAAGAATTTATATTTGTACCTTCACTTAATAATTCTTTACTTGGGATATAGCAGTAATAGTAGTTCAAACCCAAATTAGTTTGCTTATACCATGACAATTCTTTTTCCTTTATTCTTGTATTTTGGGAAAAAAAAGTAACTGTTACGACAAACGCAGCGAACCCAAGAACAAATCAAGAAACACGACAGAAAAGGTAAACACGCCACACAAAGAATACAAAGATTTAGCGTGGTTTGGCAAAGCCAACATCCACTTCGGCAAAAGTTTCCATTATGCGAAAAATAAGAGATTACAAGTTTCAGCCCCCAAACCCTAGTTCTCGCTCTCACTCTCACTCACTTTCTCTGCGATTTTCAGTGTCTCAATAATCCCACTCCAAATTCTAAGTGCCCTTATATATCGGGCTACAAGAGAATACTAAACGGAGTCCATGGCCAGTAAGCAAAAACTGGGTCAAAGCTCATTCAATGAGTCGTTGGGTCGTAACGCTCATTCAATGGGTCACAATGTGACCCGACACCAAATTCGGGCCACAACATCACAGTAACTTTGTACTGGCATATAATAACGATATAATGAAGGGTCAAATAAAATGGAATAGCTAAAGCAAAGGTACAATTATGCAGCGAAATCAAAGCTAAGTAATCTATAATTTTTATGTTGGAATGGATTTGACAAAGTATGACTTAATTTTGAGCTTCCTCTGGCAAAGCAACTGGTATCTTTAATTGAACCTTCTTTTTTTCTTGATATGTAAATTTATGTTTAATTTAATTAAAAGAAAAGGATATATAGAATAAAATTCGCAAAAAGCCTGTAGGCGAGTATATGATCTGTGAATTTGAAATAGATTGAGATAAGATTCTCTTAATCTGGTCTAACTTTCATGGCCATACTAATGTTGGTAAATTGCCTTTCATGATGATCCAAGACAAGCCAGCCAAATTTCTTCTTATGTTTGCATGACTTCTGTCCAGCAAGATTGAAATAACAGTCATTTCAAGTCTTTTTTTGCACCCACCACAGTTATGTTGCCCTAGTTTTACACTCTTACAGGTTAGTTTGAACTGCTGTGCTGCCTGAGAACTGCATTGACTATGGATATTCCATTTGAGTGATCAGGGAACATGTTTAGTGCCCACTCTCTAATGATGCTGACAAACAAATTCCTCCAAACTTGCTTGATAGGTATATCCAAAGTGATGAGGTAGATTTAAGTTTGTTTAACATGTCCACTAGATGGGAGAATTTTTTTTGAAATTCTTTTGCTGCTTTACTCCCAAGTAATCAAGATCTGTTTTAGTGTTGAGCGTGTGGTGCACAACCTAATTATGTCCTTGTTGGTCCCATAAAACCTAGATAACTTTTGAACAAGGGAGAAAGAGGGGTCACCTCAAGTGTACCTTCTAACTTGAAAGCAGAAGCCAAACTGGAAAGTTAATGACATGTTTCACCATCATTTTTGCTTTTAAAGCATGTTTTTGGGAAGATTGGTTAATGCTTCTTCTCTGCAACAAGTCACAAGTGTTGTCTTTCTTTGAAGCCACCATTTAAGTTAGAGCCTTAATTTTGCAAGGGACCTTTGAAGCTACTGTTGGGGTTGAAATTCGCTGTGGCCTGGTATGACACCGTTTCCTGCAAAACAAAGACGGCAAAGTCAAACACCGGTGTGGTGCCGGCCGTTGACCCTCCGATGATCAAGTTCGTAGGGGTTTCTAGAGAAAGAATTTCAATTGTAATCCCCCTAGTAGGAGTTTTTTGTGTGTACTTTATTCCCGAGTCGTCTTCCTATTTATTGTCACTTCCCTTATTCTTGAAAAGGGAATATCATCATCCTTATCTCATGGAAATCTTATCCTTGATAAGATTTGTCATCATTCTTATCCCATGGAAATCGTTATCCTTGATAACGAAATATTATCGTTGATCGTTGAAAAGATCTGGCGGTTAGTCAACACTTAGTTGCCTCTATCGTTAGGTCAAGGTAGGTTAGGTTTATTTTTTCCTATCAGTTGCCCCCTATTTCGGCGTACGTTTTGGACCAAGGAAATAGTACCTAATATGTATATATACTTTCTTATATCTTATTTATTTTCTTTTTACTACAAGCCCCCTTCCAAATTTTAATAGGACTCTTTCACGAGAATTTCATTGTTACTCAAAAAAGAATTTTCCTATAAATAAATATATATATTTATTTATTTACTACTTTTATTTTTTCTCTTTTCTTGTTGTCTGAAATCCTTTAAACTGGATCCTGTCCTTGAGTTTCTTGTGGATCGTTGCGGTTATTATTGCTTTTACTTGGATCCTTCCAAACCTCAATCTGTGAGATATGTAATTGGGTCCAGTCGTCTCTGCCGGGTTATTGGTGTAATTCCAAAGTGGTTTCGCTATTTTCACAATAGCCACAATCTCATCATGTCTGTGCATGAAAATAACTTGAATGTTGAATCCCAGTCTCAAGACTTAACTTCTGAAAGTGTTAAAGAACTTGATCTTGATTATGCTGGTGAATCTGGTGTTGATTACTCCTCAAGACCAAGGATTGCTTTTTCCAAGCAACCCCCATGCGAAGGAGAATCCTTAATTAAGGATGATAATTTACGTAATTGTAGATTTAAATATTCCATTCCTTCATCCATTCACCTTCACCAACCCAAACCAGAGGATAGATGTTCTTCTGTTCGTTTGGGTGAGGTATGCTTTTTCGAGTCGACTTTTGCTGCTGGTTTGCGTTTTCCGATTCATCCATTTGTAGAAGAAATACTTTCCCATCTGAAGATAGCTCATTCTCAAATTGCCCCTAATTCATGGAGAATTATTATAGGCTGTTTGATTGTTTGGGGAAGATGTGGCAATGGTCGTCTAACAGTAAATCAATTATTGCATTTTTATTATCCCAAGAAGAAAAAGGATAACTTTTGGTACTTCCAGTGTAGATTAAAGAAGATATTCCTCATTGTTGCAGCTCCTGAAAATAACAAAGGCTGGAAGAGTCGTTTCTTTTTTATTTCCGGTGCATACAGGAAATTTCCAAGTGTTTGGAGTAATTCAGATCCTGTAGGTAAGATTTATATATATATATATATATATATATATATATATTTTCTAATCCTTGGGTGGTGCTAAATTTTTTTTTGCCCGCGGCACTGTTCCCTCGGGAACAGTGCCCGCGGGTCTTGTTCACTGAACAGTAAATTTTATTTTATTTTATTTATTTATTTATTTTGCATTGAGAGAAATTTATTTTATTCACTCATTTAGAGAATTGCAACTTACAATTCCTTTTCCCAGACTTTAAAGACAAACCAGTTCTTTCAACTCAAGAAGAAAAAAATGTCGGTAATGCCTTTGCTTACCTTGTGAAGACCTTTAGTGATCTCATGACTGATGAAGCTTTAGAATTGTATGTACGAGCTACTAGCTCAATTGAAACTCCCACCCATTCAGAAAAAGGTAAGAAAAACAAAGGTACCCATACGTAAACTTACTGGTTTTAGTTAATTTTTCATTAAATATTTTCTTTATTACTTTTTATGTAGTCAAGAAACTTAGTAAAAGGCTCCTAGCCCAAGTCCGGTCAAGTAATCTTCCCTCTACTCCTGCTTCCAAAAAATTACGAAGGGTAGGAGAGGAAAATCATGGTAGATCTTCAAGCTCTGGAGTGTTATTAGGTCCTACTCCTATATCTTTAGGTTTCAGCAGATTTGGTGGGGTTCCTATGAGTTTCGAGAGTTTTGGTTCGGTATCGACTTCCACCAACCAAGCCTTTTCCCAAGGGGAATCGATTCTTGATAACGCTAATGTCGCGTATGATAGGTTACATAAAATGGTGGTAAAAGATAACGCTGCCGGATTGCAGAATTTGTTGGCATTTGAGCTTTCACGAAAATTTCTTCAACTAATTAGCTAGGTAAGATTTTACCCTTATCATGTGCATCCCTTTCTTTTTTTTAACTATTTGCCACTATTTATTTATTTATTTATAGAGCACTACATACTCTATTGCCATTGCAAAAGAATACGAGAAGCTTACTCTAGAGATAGCTTCCCTCAAGGCTAAATACGAAAATGTTACTTCTATACTTAAAAATAAAGAAAATGACTTGGCTAATGCAAAATTAAGCTTTCAAGATGAGAAAGTGAGACTTACCAAAGAATACTTTGATAAGTTGGAACTTGAGAAGCTAGCTGCCGTGGAGTGCTTTAAAAATTCTGATGAGTTCAAGGTGCTCATAGGCAAGGCTTGCTGTGATGGTTTTGACCAGTTCAAAGCCCTTGTTAGCAAGGATCGTCTGGACATAGATTTTTATATGTATGATATTCAAGCTGAGAGCGAAGAGGAAGATTGAGCTCCGTAGTAGTAGTCATATATATATATATATATATATATATATATATTAGGTTTTTTGCTTTCTTATCATGTCGATCCCTTAAAACTTTTCAGAATATCTCTTAATTCAGAAAATAGTTGTGTTACTTTTGACATTTTGTCTTTCATGATATTGCTCCATACTTATTATTTCCTTATGCAGAATTCCTTTTCTATTGATGCGGCTCTCCCTTTGTGGTATTGAACACAACTTTGTTAAAGAAATATTCACACTTTTTCAAGCTTCATTCAGCCTGTCCTTCTTCTGAAGGAATGTGTTTTTACGAGCTTCTCCCAGCTCGTCCCTTTAATAAGGGAATGTCAATTCTCTCTTTTAATAAAGAAATGGACTTGACGATTTACTAGTCCTTTCGTAACTTATTAAATTCAATAGTAATGTCGTCAGCTGTAGAAAAATGTGAAATAAAGACGAATAATTATTTTATTAAAAACTTATCGAAAATAATATTCAATAGTCGATCATCAGCATTCAATAAACACTGGTTCGCTTCAAGCTAAAAACATACTATCACTTTAAAAGTGAGATAATAAAATAAAACATAGC